AACTCTTGGAAACTGAGGTTTCTTCACTTTTAGATCAATATTTCTAAACAACACTGTCTCTAAATAGAAAAACCGGGTTTTTCCTATAAAATACTGGCAAACTGAATAATTTCTTTCTTTGGACTCAGTTTTGTTGCTGGAAAATCTAGATGCCTTCTTTTTTAATCGTTTGAACAAAGTAGTAAAATGTAAAAGTAAAAAAATGTATAAACAATTTTGATTTATTTTCCTGACGGCGTGTATTTGTATGTGAATATCGTTTATTTCATTACGTTTCGGCGAGACAACAGCTCCATCATCAGATTCTTCGAAAAGAGAAAAGAACTGATGCATGTTTTAACGCTTTATTAATTATAGCTTTTATACAACATGTTTTAATTGTGAATTGGTGTTTGTAGTTTGTGTAAAATTTTAAATCTGATGAGGGCGCTATTGTCTCGCTAAAACGTAACGAAATAAACGATATTCACATTTTTACTTCATACTTTGACTGAGATCCCGGAAGGATACGAATATAATGTGCATAAACAATCATTTTTCTTTCTCCTCCTGAGTTTGATTTGTCGACACAAAAATCGTTTGAACAATAAACGGTTCTTATATTTTTGTTGCTGCGTACTTTTTTGCCATTTTAACACAACATTTTTAAATTTAATAAAAAATTACTGTTTTTGCCACATTTGATTAGTCATTGAGTTGAGTATTGTTCAGTAGAAAACATCGAACTCTCAGGACTTGTGACGATACACTAAAACAGAGGAATTGCTGATTTTAATCTTAATTGTTAATCTTTCAGCTTTATGAAAATACTTATCGGTATAAAGAGCGTAATTATTATACATCTAAAAATATAATGCGAATAATTAGCCAAATATCTGCAATAATTCTAGTATTAATAAAGGGCAGGGTGAATTGTTGTTCTTCAAGCACAAATAGAAGAGGAGTTTAGAGCATTCGGCTAAAAAAAGGCCGAGCCAAGCGTCCGGGCAACGCAAGTTGCGTGGCACAAAGTATCTTTGCTTATTTAGGTGGCAAACACATTTTTCATATAGAAAAACTTCCAATTCTAGCGCAAATGGAACATAAAAAGCCATTGTTCGGTTTGATCCGGAAAAAACTGTTTAGTCTAGATTACCTAGCCAGCAGGTAGTAGAATGCTCCTAAAAAACATCTTGTTTACCCGTATTGCAATAATCTCGCTACACCCGTTACGCAGATAATAGTGAAGTGTTTACTTAAAAGGTACCAAAATGTATGCAAAAGAGTTGAACCATTTAAATAAACACCACTAATGCCGACTTGGCTGGCCGTGAAACCTTCACATTACATTATCCATCTCTTTGTGCCACTCGCTCAGAAAACATGCAGCTTCTTGTTTTGTTGCACAAAGCCTATCTTTCCGGCTGTCCGCCTTCAAGTGCAAAACACTTGAAAATTGAGTATAAATATCCGCGATTATTTTTCGGACAGACAATAGTGGCCAAGATGCGTCTGATATTGTGTCTACTTCTGTTTGTGCTGCTGACTTTTGTCGGGTTAAGCCCAGTAGATGCGGCCGTCACCTTAACAGTGGATGGTCTAGCGGCTACCATCAGAAACGACTATGTTGAGCTGAACTTCAAAGCAGATGCGACCATTTCTACAGTGAATGTTCAGGGCACCAACTTGGCAGCCAGTGGAGTTAAGAGCTTTTATCTGGATTGGAACGATAGTGAGTACAATCGGTTTGAACTTTTCTGCATCAACGACTTGCGGTTGTCTTAGGGGCGTATCGCCTCCATGTGAAATACGTGGAAGAAATACAAGTAGGTGCAGGTTTCGGCAGGGTTCTTTTCCTGAAAGGAACCCTCCGCGGCGTAAGCGTAATTTTTGGAATAAGAAAAATTTACTCTTCGCGCCTGAGGCCTGAGTCTTGGGACGCACATATGCACTTTGAGTTCGAAATTTTTCTCTTAGTGCGGGTGCATCTGTAGATCTGATAAACTTTTCACATACGCATTGTGTTATTAAACTGATGGTGATTTTGATTTATCAATGATTGATAACAATGAATCAACAATTTATCAGGGGAAAAGCTGCAGATACTGCAAATACTAGATTAAGGGTGCTCATGTACTAAATGCCTGTTCGAGTTTCGCCTTATTTTAAATTTCCAATTAAAGTACACACACAATTATACACACTAAAGCAGTTTAAGTGCAAA